TTAATTTTGAAAACGAACAATAAAAGAATATTTATTCAAAGTATGAAAGTGTTAAAAATAATTATTTTAAGGAGTTAATCATATTTAACTGATCTTTTCAACTTTAAAATAATTTTACCTTCTTCAAGAAATAATTTTTGATAGATATTTTCTATGTGAGATTAACACCTCATGGTGTATCCTTCTCATCACATTGTTGGATGCGAGAGTTGGTAAATAAAGGAATAAATAAGTCCATTACAAACTTTTTTATCAATCCTCACAAATCATTAAATTGAGAAATTCTCAAAAGGTGTTGCTTTGATCATAACTGTTGACATCTGTCATCATCGTCCATCCTCAGGATCAAAGACTTGAAAACATGTATACTTCTAAAATATACTTCTGCTTTGTACAATTTCTTTAAATATTCTCTTTTTAGTACTTCAATCTGTAAAGCATAACCTGAAAAAAAAGTAGGTATATTAATATGTATTTTTCTTCCATCACTTATCCTCCTTATAGGGTGTCTTTGGTCCCATGTCATTTTCTTTGTTGGAATATGATTCTTTATATTTTTCCCCAAGGTTGGAATCTTCTTTCCTCTTTGTTCAACATCTGAAGATCCTTCTTTAGATTTTTTGTTGTTCTTTAAACAGGAGATTCTTCGATTTGATGTTGATTGAACTAGAACATGATATGATATGAGTGATCATCTCCCAGTTTAATCTTTTGATTGCATCAACTTCTATGATTTCCTTCTCTATTGATTTTTTATGAAATTCATGAAAGTTTCTATCTATAGATTTAAGAGTTGGATAAATATTTCAATTCATAATTCTCTAGATAAATGTTAGTAACCATATTTTCTAATAATAAAAAAGATTTGAGAATTTTTTTTCTTGCCTCATGTGTTCATCTTCTCTAGATAGATACAAGAAGAAACTCCATATATATTTTCTAAAGTATTTCATACTTCTTTGGTGGTTTAAATATCAAGAGATTTATATAATTTATCTTTGGTCAAAGAGATTGTTCTATTGTTCATCATTTATTTGATGAGTAGGGTCAACTAGACCATTGAATAAGTTTGTAAAGAAAAAGGTACCTTTTTAAAGAAAAACATATATAGAAAAGAAAAATAAATTTTCAAAAGGAGGTGGTGAGTTTTGAAAAACAAATCTTGTATTGGAATTCATCTTTCTTCTGAGACGATTAGTCCTTAAACATGAGTTAGGCTCTGATGCCACTTGTTGAACTTGAGACTTCACACACAAGAGAGAGCTAAAAACTAAGTAGCCAAAAAATAATTATTGAAATAAATGTAGAATTTAAAGAGTTAAGGGAGGAAGAATACCAATAGTTATAGAGGTTCAGTCATAAATAAAAGAGACATACTCCTCTCCCCAAGAATTGATCTTAAGAGTTTCTATTATATGCTTGTGAGCTTTACTAGGTAAGACTCACGAACCCTCTTATAAAAGTAAATGATAGTTGAAATACAATCATAAAATACAAGACAAAAGATATGAACGTTTGCGTCTTCTCCATAGAATTATTTTTCAAATAATTAAATTTTTTAAATAAAATATCCAAATAGTCAATATTCTCAATTATTTATAAAAGTAATCATGTTTCAAAAAAAAAATCACATGCAAGAGAAGGCGTCATTCCCTCTAGCGCAAGCACTTGAAATTTAACTCATGTGCCACTGTCTATGGTACATGCAATGATGTCATGCCAGTGAATATGACATATACTTTGTGTATTTAATGATGTCACGTGGATTAGTCAAAACTCGCTTGAATAATGGAGATATATGATATAACTCTTTTTTATTAAATTTTGTATAAAAGTTAAACAATGTTAAGAATTTAAAACACAAACAATTTTAAAAGACAAAAAAAAAAGATTTTTTTTTCAAATAACTAATTATTTAAAATAAAATATCCAAATAACCAACATTCTCAATTATTTATCACAGTAATCATGTTTCTGATAAGTGCTAAATTATAGTGTTTTTGAGTGAATAATTGACACTTATTGACTTGATTAATTAGTTTTTCTAGAAATAACCTCAACTTTAGTGTGAATAAGTAACTGTTTAGTATTTTAGTATAGTTTTGTCGGTTCATGTAAATATCATTGAGTTTGACAGTTTTTTATCTCATTTTTTAGGTATTAAAGTAATGATATTTAGTCATTATAATATAGATTATTGAATAAGCTTTCCAGCGCTTCTGATCGTGCGTAAATTGGAGTTACGATTCTCAAGTTATGGCGAAAATAAATACTGATTTTTTCCCATTTCTGTCAAATTCGCCAGGCGAGCAGGTGGCGAGCGAGGGGCGAATTTGCCTGCTTTTGCGCTGTATTTTGGGGTTGAAAACTGACATTTCTCCAGGCGAGTTGTCAGGGGCGCCAGTTGATTTTTGGTAGGCATAAACTTATATTTAGAGTGTTAGAACACATTCTTAGGGTTGGTTTTGGGGATTTTTTTCTCCCACCTCCATCAACCATATTCTTTGGTAGAAGAATATTTGAAAACAATATTTGAAGGTTGCATCTTGATGAATCAGAGGTGGGTTTGCTTCAGTCTACGTTGACAAACCGAGAGAATCTTATTCATCTTCTTTTCTTCTCTTTATACCCTTTATTTGTTGGGATTTTGTATGTAAGTTTACCTTGATTATATGTGTATTTATTGCTCATGGCCATTGTATAAAAGCTATTTTACAAATCAATATTGATGATTGCTTGCTTTATGTTAGATTTGAGTTGCTATAGACATATACGATTTCAATCCGAATTTAGGATGAACATCTATTAGGTTCTAGACTCTAGAGATAAATTTAGGTCTAATATTCACGTGGGTATAATGCTCAGTGTTGTTTAGTTGCACGAGACATCGTCAATGAGATAATCCGGTAGAAATCTCGTCGGTGTTCCAAACATGGACATTGATGTGAGGGATACGTGATGATATTAACGAGTGATTTAGGTTGCATACAATTGATCAGTAAGTTTAAATATTTAACGGGTAGATGAAATTCAATTCCGACGAGTTCTCTCCTCTCCAAAGAGTGTAGTTATTTTCTTGTTCATAAAATTTACTTTTTGCACTTTACACTTTTAAACCATTCAAAATCAAGCTCAGAAACGTAGAGACTATTAAACGACATTCTTTCCCTTGCACTAATCTCTGTGGAGACGATAAAGCAAAACTAAAAATACTTACTCTTGCTTGCTACTTTACCGCAACAACAAAATGACATTGTTGCCATAGATCAGTGTTTAGACATTTAATCGCATTGCAATAGTTTCCATGTTTTTAAGCTTTGTACATATCGTATATTTGTTCATACTTGTAAATTTGAACATGCTCTCCATACTTGTTTATAATGTAAATATTTGCTTTTTACATACTTTCTATACTTGTGTATATTGTATATATTTTGTTTCCTTCCGCATTTGCTAAAGTGTTAGTTAGGAATAGTCGTTGGTGACAACTAGCCATGCAAATAGGCAACATGGAGAAATGTCAATAGATAAATGCGTCGAGCTAACGGCGTAAAACAAGCGCTTGTTGGGAGGCAACCCAATGATTTTTGAGTTTTTTATAGCTTTGTGTTTAGTAGCTTAGTTTAATTTGAATTTTTTATAATGTTAGAAATTTGTTTTGTTTTGTGTTTGGCCAAAAGCTTGTTTTGATTGGCTTGAGGAGATATGTTGTAATTGTTCATGTTTGATTATTTCAACATGCAAATGCGTGGTAATGATAGTGTTTGAAGTTGATACATTGCAAGGTACACATTTATCGGTTTCTAGAACATAGCATGATTAAGAAACTTTTACTTTGTACAAGTACCATGCCATTCATTCTTTGACACCACTTGTTAATGATTGAATCACTTTAGATCTTATCCCAAATATGAGGAAGCTTTCTATTGTTCACTATAAACATAGGAGAACAACAATTCTGTTTTAACTCGTTTGATTTATGTTTAATCTTACATTTATGTTGTTTTGTATAAAAGCATAAAAAAATCAAGATATTTTGTTTGATTTTGAGCATAATCACCTAACCAAAAGTAATTCACCTTATGAGTGAGCAAGCATTTGTTAACCCCTTTGAACTTTTTTGTTAGAATTTATCTTGGTGTTAAATTATGAACTTGTATATGAGTAAACAGTTCATCATGAATTTAAATTTTGTTTTTTTGCACTTGACCCTCAATCATGTATTGTGGTTGAAATTTTTCCTTGCCTTAAAAAATTGGTAGCATTCATGCCACTATGTTAGTTGTATTCAAATTGGAGAGAGAAATGATTGATTACTTATAAGATGGTTGTTAGAGGTTGAAAAATAAAGTGGTTGAAAAAGAAAAAGAAAAAAAATTGTGAAAAAAAAAGAAAAGAAAAAGAAAAAAAAATAATGAATAAGATATTAGTTATAATTTTGAGTAATGGAAAATATTATAAAATATTTTATTGATTGAAAGTGCGGGAAGTGATTGCTCTAATAAATTTAAATGTTATTTTAATACTTTCAGAAAAAGCAAAACATTCCTCTATTTCCCCCCCTCTATTTCCCTTCTCATAGTACACCCTCCAAACTTGGAAACAAACCAAAAAGTCACTTCAATCATAGAAATGCCACATATTTTGGTTTTTTGCGTGGTAATTTTGAAGCACCGAAAAGGTATTGGAATACACTTAAGAATTCTGCAACATAAATTAAGATTTCCAAGCACGGTAAGAAAAATATTGTGTGGAGCAAGATTTTGCCTTACATGATTTCTTTTGTTTTTAATCACTTTCACATCCAATGAGTAAGAGGAATTTTTCAATTTATTCTTTACAGATAAAAGATGGTGTAAAACTAAAACTACATCGAAATTCTGAGGTGGTCAATCTATTTGCAAAGAAAGAAAGAAAAAACTCATTTATGATTCAAGAGAACAAGCAACAAAAGAAACCAACCTATCTACTGTAAAATCTCATAAACTAATAACTTGGGGTCATTTCTTCACAGCACCACTCTCCTCCGAAGGAATAGATGAACCACTCCTTCTGGATACAGCTTGCCCTGTGATTGTCCTGCCCATGAACTTTCCAGCCTTGGTCAGTCCACTGCCAACAGCACCAAATCCACTACCGACAGCGCCAAACCCGCTGCCAACAATTCCAGCACCGGCAGTAACACCAGAACCAACAAGTCCTGCACCGGCAGTAACACCAGAACCAACAAGTCCAACACCAGTCCCGGCTACTGTTGTTACACCGGAACCAACAAGTCCAACACCAGACCCGGCTACTGATGCTACTCCGTCTAGCGCGTCCATTGTACTTCCTATGACTCCTTCCTCTTTCAATTTCTTCCTTTGTTCTAGTGTCATTTTCTCTGCTTCTAGTGCAGCCAGCTGTTCTTCCTTGTTAAATACGTGATAGAAATACTGAAATTCCAATGAGACTATAACTTTCAATCAACTGAGACAACGTGTGGTAAATGAATACAGAATAGAAAAGGATTAAAACATGTCTATTTATACCTTTATTCTCAAGGTTCCTCGATCCTTCTTATCTTTCACTTTCAGCGTATCAAGCGATGACAAAAGCCTCAATTCAATTTCCTTTTCAGTTTCTATTTCCATGTCGATAAGTGGCAATTTTGCTATTCCCAGCCGTTTATCTTGTCCAATGTCTTTATCAAAAACCTATTTGCAGAGCCATGAAAATCGTTTATTTTAATTTCATTGAATCAATCAGGACATAGAAACAGTTTAACAAGAATTGTGTAATTACAAGGAGAAAAACAAAATAAACCAAAATGTTAATACGTGTGACTTTGTAGAGAGAAATCAATACAAGATCAAGGGGAGAAGATAAGTGCTCATTTGATTTGAGAAAACACTTTGACTGTTATTCATAATAGAATAGTTTTGGGAAATAATATTATATCTACTCTGATTGTTACAAAGATTTATACAAGAAAAACTCAGAATAATGTGATAAACTAAGGTAATTTTGAAAATCTTCCATTACTTGTCAAATCAAAACATTTGAACAAACTATATTAGAGTATTTTCTTGTTGATATGCTGAATGTATCCAGAAAATTAAATTCCTAATGAATTTCTTATTTCTTCTATAAGCATAAGTGACGAGAATATATTCTATCTTCTTAGAACAAATGAAAGAAAAATGTGAGTAATGGCGTAGAATTAATTAGCACAAGAGAAAGCAAAGTATTAGCTGTGTAAAACCTCGAGAGTGAGTGACTGGGTCTCCTTGTCTTCTGCAATTAAGTCAAATTCTTCATTCCAAATCGGATTCAAGTTGTTATCAATGACCTTCGTTTTAACTTTAAAAAGTGGCCGGATATACACAACTGTGTAAGGATCAGACTTCCCAATCATTTCCTTGTTTTTTAGATCATTTGCTTTTATTACAGTCACTCTAAGCATTCCTTGGGGTTTAAGCTCCAGTTCACTGCAAAAGGCAAGGTGTTTTAGCAATTTAGAATATTTGACCATTAACATAGGAATTGGCATATTCCCAAGCGCAATTTGTTTTTCTTTCTTTCAAGGTGATAAGTGACAAGGAAAATGAAATGAAAAACAATTTTTTTTCTAGACCATTATCGAAAATTTTCTAAGTTCTTATTATTTTCTCTCTCTTTTTATCTAAAGTACCACAACTGCAGCAACCTAGATATGTTTTGATCTGCATTCTAGAAGATATATAACTAACAGAACAAAACAAGCTTCACATTACCTAGTATCCACAGGAACACCACCAAGTGGAACAACAATCCTATGAGGCCATTGGAGCATATCAGTAACAATTGAGTTCACAGTATCCTATAAAATGGTGGGTAAGACTTAGAGTGGATTATGAGTATTAATTCAAAAGAGGCCAGCTTGTAGATTAGAACCTACATCTATCATATCTGAAATTCCAGGAAGTGCCGTCAAACTTCCACCAACAGCCTTCAGAGTGTAATCAATCCGAGGCTTCGGCTGAAGAAATGTTTATGGAAAAGTCAGTAATTCCAAGACTGATAATTAAACAATAGTGTCCCAAGTAATGCAGAATTCAATTAGAATATTGCACAAACAAAACTGTAACCGGCAGATTGAGAAACTCAAGTAGATTAACCCCCCTCCCCCCAGAGGTTACCTCAGCAAGTAGGGCAACAACAACAGCGGAAATGCAGGGGATCTCTTCAGCGAGTTGGAATATAACACGGATAATGGTGAAAACCTGGAGATCCTTCAACTGAAGAAGAAAAAACAAAAACAATCAACATTTTGAAAATTCATTACAGTGACATGAGATTCTATATAGAAACATAGCTTGGTTTAACCTGAATAGGAATTGATGCAACAAGTGCAGCTTCAACAGCCAAAACAATACTGGGATCACCACCCCAACGGAAATCAATATCCATTATGATTTGACCTTTTTTAAGATTCTGAACACGAATACCTGCATGGATGAACAGATTATGTATGTATTATTTCTTCATATACAAAAAAAAATGACTTAGAAAGGCAAGAGGTATAAAAATAGCATTTCGTGACATTTTTGTTCTGCCTTGTTGCACAATTCAGACAGGCGTAACTCGTAAGCAATGAAGCACAAATACACTACGTTAAAATCTTTGCCGAATTACGCCCGATATGCCACAATACATCGTTGATACGTACCAAAGGAGTATACAAATTTTTCATTTAAAACAAAAAAAAAAAATCCGATACGAAAGCGACACGTTGCAATAGGCCTCGACACATCTCTGATACTCCCCAGATACGGCTTTTGGGTAGGAATATTGAAGAATACAAAGAAGGAAGTACTAAGATTTGTGACATTGGTGGAGATGCATAGGAAAGTTTTGACGGTGTTGGAACTCTTGAAGTTGCACCACTGTCTCTGGATGAAACAAATTTATAAGCCACTCTTCCTGATGATGGGGAAGGAGGAGACGTCATTGATACTAATCCAATATCTTAGTTTAAATTTAATGTTGAGTAATGTGTTAAAAGTTGTGTTTAGAATATAATTTTTGTTAGACAATGATTTAACTGATGTCTAATTTTAATTTTTAAATATGTCTCTTAATTGTATTGTATCCTATATTTTTCAATGAGTGACATATCAGATATGTATTGTATTCGATACCCGTGTCATGCCCGTGCCTCAACATTGTAAGTCAAACATTTTGATAACAGTCTCATCAATGCAGTCCATATTTTCATATATTTGTAGATTCTGACAAGCAAAATTGTTGTTACAAGGCTTATATATGACAAACCTGAAGTATATTTTCATAAAACTACAACTCCAAATTTTATTGATCCATTTCATCTAATTAACTAAGATTCAATTCAAGACATATCAAATTTTGAATCTCAGAATAAAAGTTTATTTCCCAAATTTTGAAAGATATTATGGACAGTGTTGTTTTAAATATGAATTGTTGGGGTTAGGATTGATTCCTAATGGCAGCCCTTGCTTGATAGGTCACATGTAAGTAAAACTATAATAACCATTGATTTAGGCTTGTGACATGCCATGACCTTGGACCTCACTGAACACTTCAACACCAAGAAAAAAATATACAAAATATGTTGTTAGCTAACAAAGATCCTGGGCCTTCATCCTTCAAATAAATTTAAAAAAAAGTAGTTTCCATCATATGAGGACACATAACAATTGATGGTCATATGTTTTCTTCAGAAAAGACTGAGGTTTTTTCTATTATGAACTGCATTTGATGTATAAGGATTTTTTTAGCATAAGGAAGTATAGGTTATAGAAATGCATTGGTTCTAGTTCGTGTCATATGTTTACACGAACTCCTCGGCAAAATTTGAAAACAGAACTCCAGATTTTTCATATCAACTGTTATTATATATAGATCATTGACTGTATTAAAATAAAGAAAATGAAGAATGAACTTCAGACAAAAGGTAGTAAATCTTAACGAAAAAAAAGAGATGAACAAAGTAAGTCACAGTGCCTCAAAAATGAAACTAAACTCTCCAATATCAGCAACCGTGGAAAGAGTACCAATGAGAAACCACAGGTATAACCAAATCACATAGCATAACAAGGCCCGAGGGAAGGTCAAATAAAAAAATATGGGCTTTCCTCTCCAACCAAATTAAGCTACAGATGAAAAAAGGATAAGAGAAACTCTTGATAATGATAGTATTATTTTGCCTCTCTATAAAAGTTATAAACAGGTGAAAAAATATTAAACAAAAAAATTTATAAAAATTTAGACAACTTGCATCAGAGAAATTTTGATTGCATATGAAGCAGCCTAAAAGATCTGTTGTCAAAATAATTGACATATCAACCTCATTATCTGAATTTATAGACAGCATTAGTAAATGCAGCAGGGAATAGAATGAAGAAATGAATCTCAATGGATTAGTACCTTCAATTTTTGGAGCGACATTTCCAAGGGACAGCTTACTGAACTTCAACGAAGTAATTCCAGTAGGTCTATACTCTTCTAATAGTGGTTCAACAGATTCTCTTATCACCATAGTTGCTGCCTAAAAAAACAAACACAAACAAAATCAAGACAAAGTTAGTTATTTGAGCAGCATATGAATACCCCCCACCCAAAGGAAGATTAGGGACAAAAGCCAAAATTTAAAGGTCACTTGAACACAAGAGGATACAGTGTTTTGAAAGAAAAAAAAAGTATTGTTGGATTTAACTCATTCTTACAAAGTCGACTTAAAGGGTGCCACTCTTTATAAACTTAAACTTAAAGGACGTCACTCTTTATAAAACTTAGACTTAAAAGGATGTCACTCTTTATAAACTTATTTCAGACCTTAATTTTATCCAATGTAAGACTTAAGTTTTCTCCAATACACCCCCTCACACAACATTATTGGGTTTGGCATGGATATAAATGATGGGTGCCTTGGATCAATAGGCTTTGATACTATATCATATTTTTCTATTTGGCATAACTCATAAGGTGAGGATACTACTCTCTATAAACTCATTTCAAGCCTTATCTTTATCCTATGTGGGACTTGGGTTTTCCCGATACCCCAAACTCAAAATTCTATGTAAGTCTATCGGAGTTATACACAAAAACAACTTTTTAAGCCAGTTAGTTGTAAGGCTGTTGAATTTTATGAGGTAACTAAAGAGCTTTTGACAATGAGGATGACCCATGGACTGCAATTCCACCTCCAGTTCATGTGTGTTTCTTAGTCCTAATCTAGTCTTGTGGTGATCCAAGATGCAATTCATAGTGACTAGATCAATCATTGTAGCTGAATATTTAGCAAGTTGCTTCAAGTACAGCTGAAAAACTTTTGATTGAGACACAGCTATGTGAGCTTCATAGTAGAGTATACAGTAGAGATGCATAGTTAGTTATTAGTTAGAATGTTAATCATCAATTAGCGAAGTTGTTGTAACTGTCGCAAGTATGGTATAACTGTATTAGAGTCACAGAGGCAACGACACAATGTATACATAGATAAGATATTAATACTGAACTGTGATGCAAATCAATCAATACAGAAAATCATTTTCAGATTAAGTTCTTTCACTCTTTTCTCATCATAGATTTTACCAGAATCTGATTTTTATAGTTTTTGAATTTCTAAACTATATTGGTTACAATTAAGAAGCCGGAATTTAGTGTCTACCCAAAACCAACAGCTCTAATCTACTTTTTCTCGTTCAAACTTAACAATTGGGGTGTTAGAAGAAGCAATGTAATTCATAACAAATTAACAAACTAATTTTAATTATTACATAGAATATATTCAATAACATACTCCAGAAACAAGTGAAACATCAAGATTTAGCCTAGAAATTAAATCTAGTAAGAAATCAGTAAACATCACACACACTGTTTGAGATTATTATACAAACAAGTTTACTCACATCTGCTACAAATGGCCACAATTTGGACAGCAGCTTGTTTAGCCATTTCACCTGAAAAAGCCCATCAATAAAAGTCATACACTGCTTTTGCAATCCATACTTTGCTTAAAAATATAGGAAGGATCATACATAGAGAACAAACATAGTATAAAAACCAAGAAACAATAAATCATGTTTCTAAATTTAAAGTTGGCAGCTTTGTTTGATGAATCGCTAATGCCTAATAATACGATAGGACCGTTTGTAAAATCATTTCAGTATAAAGCTAAGTATCACAACAACAGATGATAATCAGACCTGCTCATATACAGGGAAAGATATCCATTCAGGTAAATTTTCACTACAAATTTTCTTCAAGTCGTCTCTATTAAGGGATCCAAGGAGTTTAATGTCAACTGCCTGCAGAGAAAAATGAATAATGTTAAGAGGGACGAGAAAATATATATACATAATATAATGGCAACAACTCATATGAGACCACAACGTGATATATCCTTGTTAGTGTTGCAATATTTAGAGTAATACGATTCCGTCTAAGTTTTCATTTTCATTTACTTTCCCCAGTTTTTCTTTTCTTTTTGTGTGAGGATTCCCTAGAGCAGTTTTTTAAGTTTGAGTTAGTGCGTGGAAAAACAAAATAGGCATTGAGAGCTTTTCACATTAATTGATTCGGATGAGTCGGGGTTTAACGTGTCTGCTTTCGAATAGCAAGTGACGTACACCAAAAAGATAACAAAATGGGGGAATTAGTAGCAAATTAAGAATTGTAAAAAGAAATCAAAACCCTAAGAAAATTAAAGAAAATTTTGATTCGGTGTTTGTTGATTATATATCTCAAAGAGAAACGTTTCGAAAACAAGGTGTATTACAGCCCTTCAGCAGAAGACATCAATTACCCTGAGATGATAAAGCATTCCCTTTTTACTGCATTATGGGCTATGTTTCTTTTTCACATAGATTATATACCTCTTCTACAACATGCCTCAGTAATAAGCTAAACTGCACTCATAGGTTATGAGTAGTTCAAATCTAGCCTATGTTTGGAACCGCGCCAAATAACTTTCATTCTAACATCTAGCAAAAGCTACGAAGCCTGGCTTCTTAAATTCACCCAAACACAACATTGGGTAGTTTTAATGGTTGTGGTGGTTTTCACAAATGATTTCCGGTTACTCATTATCTATGAAGCACGTACATCAGAAACACGGCGCCAACACTAACACATCGACACCCATGATATTTTTAAAAACTGAATAAATTAAATGTAATCACAAGTGCTGTCTCGGTTTTGGACTCTGATTCTGACACAACTATTTTCAGAGATGCGTGCTGCAAAGCTGGTTATTCCATCCCATGAACTAGTATAAAGTATGACTAAGATATCAGTCAGACGCTGATCACATCTTAATTCATCAACTTTACATCCACACCACACCGTTAATTCCAAGAAAATCCATAACATTGATCAACAAAACTCAAGATTTAGGACAATGTACCACATACCTTTGCAATTCGCTTAGCGCTTCTATACCTCATCATCCGTTCCAATCCAGCCATCAACGCTACACCAAATAATATCCCCAAAAACATCCCAAAAAACAACCCCATTCTCCCAGATTCCAAACACAACTACACCTCCAAACACAAAATTCACCAAAAAAAAAAATCAAAACCAATTCGAAACAAAACCATGCAAATCAACACAATAAGAATAACGAAACTGAATAAGAAACTTACAATGGTGTATAAGAAATGGATCACAATCACAATGAGTCACACATACAGTAATTGGGAAAATGATCGCAAAGGTGCAATGCAATGCAACTGAAACGAAACGTAGAAAAAGAGTAATGTGGTTATTTTTCTCTCTCTCTCTCTCTGACTCAATGTGCTTCGTAACTGTAATATTGAGTGTAACGTTGATTGAATTGAAGGTTCTTTTGTTTCTTCCGACGCAAGATTGGAATGAAAATCGATCACATTCACCCTTGGGTTTTCTTCCGCATTTTTAATTTTTATTTCTCTCTTTCTTGCATTGCAACTTTCATTTTGGTATGTTAGTTATTAATATTAATATTAACATTAATACTACTTATTATCACTAATTAAAATGAATGTTTTTATTAAAAGAATTAAAGTTATAATTAAATTTAAATTTTTTATATATTTATCAAAAGGAAATTATATGGATTTGATTCATATGTATTGTCAATGTAAATAAAATTTTATCGGTGGGTTTAATACTTTAGTTACATCTTATAATATAAAGGGTTAAATTATTGGTCATATAGTTATTTTCTATTTTAGTTCTCTGAATATTTTTTTTTAAATAATTTTGTTAAAATTTTTCACTCATATTTTTGATCTTTCATAGTAACATGGATTAACAGAATTGACACGCAGCAAATAACTCTCATCGTTCCTCATTGATTCCTTACAAGTTACAAGTATACCAATATGTAAATTAGAATAATTCAAGATGAAATTTATTAAATTCAATTCCTCATATTTTGCTAGCATAATCATTTTCTTATAACTAGGAGGATACTCATTCGGGTACTGGTATGATGCGTATATTTATTTTAAAAATATAATATTAATAAAATAAAAATTAAAAAAAAAATAAAAAATTTAGTACTTATTATTCTTCTAATATATAAAAATATTTAAATAAATAACATATTTTTTTAATAAATATTATTTTTGTTTTGAAATGTTGTAATAAATATTTAAATCAATATTAAAGTTGTTATATTTATATTTAATATTTTGATCAATAATTTAATATTCTCGTTAATATTCAATAATTTGATGAGTAACTTTATGTTTATGTTAATGTTCAATATTTTGATGAATAATTTAATATTTCCGTTAATATTCAATATTTTGATCAGTAACTTCATGTTCCCGTTAATATTCAATGTTTTGATCAATAACTTCATATTTCCGTTAATATTCAATATTTTGGTCAGCAACTTCATATTTCCGTTAATATTCAATATTTTAATCAGTAACTTCATGTTCTCGTTAATATTAAATATTTTTATCATTAATTTCATGTTCCCGTTAATATTCAATATTTTGATCAGTAACTTTATATTCTCGTTAATATTCAATATTTTTATCAATAACTTCATGTTCTCGTTAATATTCAATATTTTGATCACTAACTTCATGTTCCCATTAATATTCAATATTTTGATCACTAACTTCAGGTTCCCGTTAATATTAAATATTTTGATCACTAACTTCAGGTTCCCCTTAATATTCAATATTTTGATCAGTAACTTCAGGTTTTCGTTTATATTCAATATTTTGAATTTTTTTTTGGAATAACTAGGTATTAATTTTTTTTCCACAAATAACCATGTTTCAGAGAAAATTACGCAAAGAACCATGTTTCAGAAAATCCCATAAGGGAGGAGCCAACCCAGTTGGCGCATACACCTTATTTTAAGGGGGAGGCGCCATCTCACTTGGAGCCTATGTGTAAAAGGCCTGCCCTAAGCCAAGTGAGATGACGCCTTAGTGCAAAAGGCAGACAATTTTTCGTGTTTTTTATTTTAAATGTGGTATGTTACGTAAACGATATATGATCAAGAAAATTGACTTTTTATTTACACAATATGATTATACACATAACGATTACATAAAAAATACAGATTAATCAGTGGTCTCCCGGAACCCGGTAATGACCCTCGATTCCGCATCCTCGTCCTCGCCTTTCCCGTGTTGGGTTTCGTCGCGTTTCCTGTTGTGGCAGGGTCGATGGCCCAGTGAAGTCAATGCATTCCGGATCCATGAAATCAGTTAGATCTCCATATCTAGAAGATCTGCTTTGGTACAGCCGGTTGCCCATTCCCTCAAAGTTTGGTCGTGTTGGTGGTGGGTGGGGTTCCATGGTTGGTCTGTAGCACTGGTCATTTGAGTACGGGGGGTAGAAAGGAAATGGATCTTGGGGTGTTTGGTATTGGGAATGTTGGGTGGTTTGGTGATGTGGTGGTTGATGGTATGTTGGGTCGGTTGGTTCATAATCTTAGGACAATCCCAGATCAGGGCTAAGGTTAGATGTTGAGGGACCCATATTGAGACATGTAGAAGATTGGAATTGTGTGTGGGGTATGCAGGTGTATTGGTATTGTGATTGAAATTGTGGTTGGGTGTGAGGAATATGGTGGTATTGGTACTGCGGTGGTGATTGTGGTTGGTTGTGGGGCATGTGGGTGTAATCGTATTGTGGTGGTGATTGTGGTTGAGTGTTTGTGGTTCTGTTTCGTTGGGGAGGTTGGTGGGAGGTTGATGTGTGTTGGGTTTATTGTTGGGGAAACGAGGGTTGTGCCTATTGTGTTCGTGGGTCAACCAAATACCTTGGATGAGACACATGTATTTCTGGGGTACTAACTGATTTGTACCAAGCTAAATACTGATCGGTGTGTCACATATTACCATGGTTGGGCAAAACTGGGAATTGCAAGACATGTCGGTGACGTCTCTGCCACATCTTACACCATTTTGGAGCAAAATCTTTCCAGTTGATAAGACCCCATTGTGCGTCGACCCTTTTGAGATGCCACGCGGACAAACAAGTTGGATTATAGGGTATCTCTTGATGCATTTCAAACTGCATCTTGACACGGTCGCTGTGGTACATATCCACAACATTGAACTGTATGATTGCAGTCTTTGCACTCTAAATTGTCGCATCCTCGGAGTTTGGTTCATGGTCCAAACCCAAATATGGTCTCCAGACAAACTGCGGATAAAATTAAATCAGCTTAATGAAAATGTAATAAATAAATAATTTAAAAGTAGAAAAGTTGAAAGGTATGACGTACATCATCCGGGCCAAGGTGATCCAATAGATTGCGGTATAGAGCGACACTGAATCTTGGATTCTTGCTGTAATCCATACCCCTCACGCAGTACCTAAAGGAATTGAAAAATATTTTATTTTTATCATATATTTGGTGAAGAGATGAATAGTAATAAATGATATAAGTTGATGACTTACTTTGTTACATATGGGAAAACGAATGCGTTGTTGTTGACGGGGTTTAGGGACTCTATTCTCCACCAACCCCAGGTTTAAAGTAAAAAAGTGCAGCCATAAAATGTACATTTTTCCTTGATTGCATTTTTACACAAGGAACTGTATAGATGGGCTAAAATAGCAGAACCCCAACTATACTTTCTAGTTTTTTTGAAGTCTCTAAGTAAATTTAAATACATAAAATTTATACTATTTCCCGTACTTTCGGGAAATAAAAAGGTTCCAAATAGTATCATTATATAATTTCTAGATTTTATTACCTTAGCTAGCTCGGAGGAATTTCCGTTCAATTCCAGAGTCGCATAATGATTTTTTAGCTTATTAAGTAGTATACCCTGACCTCTCGCACCACCACCTTCATCCATATCCCTGCCCAATAATTCTTCATACAGAGAATTGGATTGTTGAACCGACTCATTAACCGCCTTACCATCGACAGGGAGACCCAATAACATGTACACGTCCTCTAGTGTGACAGTACATTCACCTATTGGTAGATGAAATGTATGGGTCTCTGGTATCCACCTTTCCAACATTGCAAGTATGAATTTTGAATCAATCGTGCAGTTGGAGATCTTTATAATGTTTCTGAAACTTGCGTATTCAAGATAGGGTACGATCAACGGGTCGGGAGCAAGGTAGTTGTGTGACTGGATTTTGAATCTTTTAGTATCCTAAGTTAAGAATGTAAAAAGTGTAAGAGTCGATAAGATGAATAAAGCATTAATAGAAGTATGAAAAATGTATAAGTATACAAGAAACTTACAAATGCTGCAATATTGTCCCTTGTGCCTCTGTGAGAATCGCCCATTGTGAGAAGAGCCATTATTGAAATTGTCTGAGATTATGAAAGAGTTTGAAATTGTATGAGATTATGAAAGAGTTTTAGCAGAGAGTGAGACGATTGTGGATGCAATAGAAGTATGTGAAGCTCTGTATTTATAGGCAAACTTTTATCACAAAGTAAGTGAGGTGGTTGGTGGGTGCATGCATGCATGATAAGTGTCACTCTTGCAGTGTAGGTGCAGGCTAGGTGGCAACCTTGGGGAAGGCATCTTTGCATGCATGTAACACGATTGGACGTGAAGGGAGGCGCCATTGGACTTGACAAATGAGTACAAAAATGAAAGGTGTCGCCATCCCTGTTGGAGAATAAGAGGTGGCATGGGTTGCAGTGTAGGTGCAGGCTAGGTGACATCCTTGGAGAAGGCACCTCTGCATGCATGTAACACAATTGGACGTTAAGGGGGGCGCCATTGGACTTGGCAAATGAGTACAAAAATGAAAGGTGTAGCCATCCCTGTTGGCGAATAAGAGGTGACATGGGTTGCAGTGTAGGTGCAGGCTAGGTGACAGCCTTGGAGAAGGCATCTCTGCATGCATGTAACACGATTGGACGTGAAGGGAGGCATCGTTGGACTTGGCAAATGAGTACAAAAATGAAAGGTGTCGCCATCCTTGTTGGCAAATAAGAGGTGGCATGGGTTGCAGTGCAGGATAGGTGACATCCTTGGAGAAGGCATCTCTGCATGCATGTAACACGATTGGACATGAAGGGAGGCGCCATTAGACTTGGCGAATGAGTACACAAATGAAAGGTGTCGCCGTCCCTGTTGGCGAATAAGAGGTGGCATGCATGCAGTTCAACCTTACTTATCTGTTCACAAAAGCATCATAAAGAAAAAGTATCCCAAGATGAATGAAAGAGGGTTGTTAAAAGAGCATAATAAGAGTTTCTCTGAGTGGTTTAAAGAAAGAATTGCTAATGAAGATAGTGATTCTAATACGATTAAGTGGTTATCTTATGGGCCTAAATGTAACATAATAACTTGGAATGGATATGATATTAATAAAACTTCTTTTTATACAAAGTCAAAGGATTGCCGTAGTACCACGCAAAATAGTGGGGTAATGATTGTGGCCGAGTCCATGCACTTCTCTAGTGCTAAAGATAAAAACCCGGTTATG